GTGAAAAACCGCGGTTCCACCGCGACCGCGGCAGAACCGCGGTAGAAGATGGTCGCGGACAACTGAAGAATCAGAGGGCATGTTTGGCCGCGGTTCCACCGCGACCGCGGCAAAACCGCGGCAGGAGGCGGAAATTTCAGGGACTTATGTGCAAAATACGGGATTTTAAGCCCTAAACCCTATATTAAACCAAGGAAGCCGGCCAAGAAAGGGAGGGGACATATTTTGGACATAGATTCGACCTAAGGAGGCAAGAACACATTGGGAGCAAGGCGGAGAATTCTTCTACGAGTTTTTCCTTCCTCTTCCTATTTTTCATTGTTGGTTATGAATTTTAGTATTGTAGTTTTACATACTATTATGAATAGCTAAGTTGTTATCTAGAGTTTGATAGAACCTTTTGTATGATAAATTCTTGTTATGTTTTTATATAATTGAGCCATAGCTTTTCTCTATTTGTTCAACTACGTTTATATTCTGGTTGATTGAAGAGCTCTCAATTAGCTGTTCCTATTTAGTATGCATAACTCGGGAGAGAGTGCATATTTAGGTAGTTGTTGAACAACACCACTCCCAGAGTACATGAGGGATCAATAACCGAGGTTTAAAGGTGGGATTAGGGATAACGAAGCCTTGGGTGCGATCTGAAGTGAGCTGTATTAAAAGCCAGCTAGCGTATCTCGGGAGAGTGCGTCTAGTAAATTGTCGTAATTACTTGGGAGAGAGTTACGGTAATAAGAGTGCTCATGATCGGTAGAGAATACTTAGGTGAAATTATAGAAGACATAGCGGGAAGGATTCCGACAATTGGGGAAATCATAACTCTAGACCTCCTTAATCTTTTCTCTAACCCTCAGTGTCGTTAGTTATTAATTTATTATTTTAATTTATTAGTTAATTAGTTAAACACAAGAATCTTAATATCTATAAGTTAGGAATTGTTCAAGCTTGTCTTCTTGGTGATAGTGAACAGTTGTAGCTAAACCTTAGTTCTCTGTGGGATTCGACTCCGGACTTGTAAACCGGATTATATTTGCAGCGACCGCATTGTCCTTTTTATAAGGCATAGTTGGGCGTGATCATCTACGTAAAAGTTATTGGGTTCCCGAGAACTCAATAACAATACTCTAGATCCGCCATTAGCCATGAATGGATTTCCTTGAACAATAACTACAATAACATACATAATGTGTGGGTTCTAGGTAGTGACATGCACGCAGATCATATTCCTATATTGTGTGACATAACAAAGTTATTTTCCATATACTCTCGGCTAAAAAGATATATTTTCAAATCATGGTTGAAGAAAAAGTATTGACAGTAAAATAATAAAGATAACTAAACTAAAATAAATAATGGTAATAATAAATCTGCAGAATAAGATAATAACACTTTCTTTTTCATTCGGTGTTATTTAAAAATTTCGATTAAGACTCATTAAGAAGTAAACATTATCTTTTACTAGGATTTTTGTTCATATTTGAATTCGAGACATTTGATTAAGAAGGGAGGAATTCTATATATTCATATCCTATAACAATTTTGGTGGTAGTATTATGTATTTCTTATTTTATAATACAGCCATCAACAATTCAACTTTTTCTTTTTATAATTTATTTAATAATAGATGCATCCTCTATATTTAGAAACCTATCACGTAAACTCCTATTTAATGAAAATTCTGCACAATTACTACTATTATAATTATGTAGAAAATTGAGTTTTCTCCTTTAAAATAAACGGATATATCTGCAATTGAATCATATCACATGAGTGTGCAGAATAATTTAATTTACTCAGTTTTAATATTTATTTCAACTCTTTTTTCAATTGTTGAAAAATGTTTAAATCATCAACCTATTTTTAAAAATATTTATTTCAACTTTTCAACCCTCGCCTTGTTTATATATTTGTACAGTGAGAATCCTAGACATTCGTACAATGCACACAATGAAGGGAAAATAGTGATATCTTTAAAACTGTTGAGGTGTTGATTCTTTTCTTTTCACGACAACAATTCCATGGGGACATTACTTCTAAAGCTAAGGACTGCAACAAAACTAAGAGGGTCATGTCCAAATTAATTGGCCCTACTCTATAGGAGACCTTATATATATCGTTGTATACGATTAAAACTAGGCCTACCCGATTTTACTATTTGATCGAGACCAAGGAGTTGCATCGAGGGTTAACCTCGTAGTGGAGCAGATCAAAATGACGAAGACAAGGTATCGAGTTCGAGAATCGAAGTACCTGCCGAGATCGGCAACGATCGAGACCAAACAGGGTAGACTCCGAGCAAAGCACAATAACAGGAAAGCGAGATATCCGTGATTGGTCGAAGATCATGGCGGGAATCTCGGAACGGATCAAATCAAAGGCAGTTGTTTAGGCTAATCATAGGATTTACTTCCGTAATTAAAATTGTTCCATAGATAGGATTCTTCTACTATATAAAGAGGGTCCTAATCATTTTGTAAGCACTTACACTTTGAGATATCACAACAAT